GAGAGAGAGAGAGAGAGAGAGAGAGAGAGAGAGAGAGAGAGAACGCACCGGAGCAGACCATTCTTAGAATGACATGAGAGGTCACTGGTCAGTCAGTATTCAGGCTGCTGGAGATTTTGTGTTAGGGAGTACCCGTGGGCTATGGTAAGGGGCCACCCCTACAGAGCGGACAGCACCGGTTAGGGTGTGGACTGTGGAAGCATCGCATCCAAGCATCCAAGTCTCGCAGTCGCAGTTGCTGCAGCGAATGGTTCGGCATAGGCAGATGTCACAGACCACGTGGCTCCCACATGCTAGGAACACAGAGGCATGCTGACCGCAATTTAGTAGAGGCATTGCCATTCCAGCCCGTCTACAAATTGGACAGGACATGTCAGGGTGCCGTACGTGAGTACAATATTGACCGTCATCATACGTATGAAAACGAAAACTCGCACGAGCTGTGCCTTCATAATCCTCGCGACCCAATGCATGCAACCCACATGCTAACCGGATCTCAGGTGGATCATCACAGAGCGGCACTGAGCAGGCGTCCTGGGTTCCCTCATTATTATCGAGTCCTTCTCTATGGGCAGATGACGACGGCCGTGGTGGGAGCCCGGGGGTCAGCCAAAACATGGGCATCGAGCTGCTAGCCTGCTGCAGGATTTGGTCCGCAACAGTTGGCCCTGGTGGTGTAAGCCCTCTTGTACCGTGCACTGCATGCGGCCCAAATGGGACTCTATTTTCCTCCTCAGGCATGGGACTCTATTTTCCTCGTCAGGCAGCTGGGTTTGTCGTCCGCCGGGCAAGGAAGAGGGAAGTCCGACTGGAGTTGCAGTAGGTGCGTGCCCAAATGCGCAAGCGGGACATGCTGAAAGAGGATTTGGCGGATGATGGCAGCGGGGATAGTCCACACAGTAGAGACACATGATAGCTTCCTGGTAACGGATTGGATTGGGATTGGGATTGGATTGGATTGGGATCCAGACCGATTGGATTGGATTGGATGGGATGGGATTGGATTGGATTGGATTGGATTGGATTGGATTGGGTTCCAGACCGTTCAGTCTGCGTTGATCCGACTGCATCCCATCCGATCCGACCCGATGCGAATCGATTCGAATAGATTCCATCCGATTCCAATCTGGACCCTACACAGTGCGTCGATCCGTTTCTATTCCCGATCCGATTTGACTCGTACTCGATTCGATTCCGATTCCAATTTGCTCCGATCCCATTCGATTTCCGATTCGATTGAACCGGGGATCGAATCGGGGATCGTCGATCCGATTCGGATTTGATTCCGATTCGATTCCGACTCGCTTCGATCCCATTCGATTCGGTTCCGATTCCATCGAATCGGGAATCGTGGATTCGATTCGATCCCAATCCATCCGATTACACTCGATACCGATTCGATCCCAATCCATCCGATTACACTCGATACTCGATAACGATTCGATGCGATTCTATCCGATCCGATTACACTCGATACCGATTTGATCGGCGTTCAATCAGCCACGTTCTATCTGTGCAGGAATTGAGCCGGTTCCAACAAGAGGGAATGCATCTGGCGGCACTTACGGTCAAATTCTTTCGCGTGTTCCGCATCATCAATCTCGGACCAAAACCCTTATCGAGACTGGATGACACTAGGAAGGATGTTAAATTTAAAATTGCGATTTATAACAAAAAATGTAACAACGATGCGCGAGATTGGGCGTGACGCTACGCGCAGTTGGGATAGAGCATGTCTTGGCGTGACGTTGACAAATCACATACCTCCACGTGTCTAAGATCCAGTCCTACGCCTGAAAACGGAGAATGACTTAAAAAGAAAAAGAAAATAAAAAGGAATATGAAAAGGGGAACAAGGAAAGCGAAGCATACATAATGTATGACTGTCTGCAGCAGCATCGAAGGGAGGCCGTACACATTGGTTGATCGACGATCGTAATCGATCAACCAATGGTGGTTGATCGCCGATCTCCGATCACTCATTGATCGGCAATCAACCGTCAAGATCAGCCATTAATCAACGATCAATCATTAATCAGCGATCAATCATTAATCAGCGATCAATCATTAATCAGCCATTGATCAGCCGTTGATGGTTGATCGCCGATCTTAGATCAGCTGGCCAATGGATGCGGTCGATCGCTATAGAGAAAAACAAGAAAAGCAAAGCAAAGCAAAGCATACATACTCGTTCATTGCCTGCAGCATGACCTGGGGGAGGCTGTAGACAGAAGTTGATCGACGATCGTGATCGCCGTAGACAGAGGTTGATCGACGATCGTGGTCGATCACCCGATGGTGGTTCGTCGCCGATCTTCGATCAGCCATTGATCGGCGATCAACATCCATATCAGCCATTGATTGGCTATCAACCATTGATCGCTATACATGGCCGATCGCCGATCTTAGGTCAGCTGATCGATGATTGCGATCGATTGTTGATCAGCCAGTGATGGTTGATCGCCGATCTTTGATCACCTGATCAATGGTCTCGATTGATCGCGATCGATCATCGATCAGCCACTCAGTCTGATGGTTGATCGCCGATTGTCCATCAACCTTGCTGAACTATGGGTGCAATCGATCACGATCGTCGATCAACCATGTTGATCCATGATTGCGATCGATCGCGATCGTCGATCAACCATGATCGAGATCATCATGCGTGATCGACGGCCTCGTGTGCGTATGCCCTCTTACCGCTCTACTTATCCTTCTCCATGCAGATGGCTTTCCTTCATTTTCACGACACGATCTCACAAACACGCACAACCCTCCCTTGCTCCTTTTCCTCCTTCCTTCCCCCCCCCCCCCCCCCCCCCCCCCCCCTTCGCCTTCTCCCCCCCCCCCCCCCCCCCCCCCCCCCTTTTCCTTTGCCTACTCTTCCTCCCCATAACACATC